ACTCAATATCGAGCCAGGACTGGAGGCCCAACGCTGACGCATTCAGGGTCAGGCTGGCGAGAAGAACAAGGAAAGAGATGCCGATTAGGATCAGCCAAATCCGTCGAAATAGACGCATACTGACGCTGTATAATGGGATCACAGACAGTCCAGAAGAGTTCAGGAGAAGACGAGCGGAATGTGAGCCCCACAACGGCTGTTTGTGACGAAGTCAAGAGCTCCAGGCATCCACGAAGCTTCCCGCGAGACGAACTGCCGATACACGCCAAAGTGACCCTTAGCAGAGGAAGGTGTGGCGGAACTGTGTAGGAGAATGAAGGAGGCGAAGTCAACATTGCAGAATATAGGAACAGACTGGTCCAAGTGAATAAAAATAGGGTATGATTCATTAGTAAATTGAGTAAAATACTCCTTAAATTATCACCTTTTTAACAGGTTCTGTTTCAATTTATCCAGTTCAAGACGACGACCAAAATTTGTTCAGGAGTTTGGCCCGCAAAACTAGCACCCAACAAGGCAGTACGAGACGGAGTTGGAGACTTGCAGAATGCAGCTCAGGGAATGCAATCGGAGGCGATTTGGCTATTGTCTAAGGCAGGCTGTCACCGGAAGACACGAGCGAAGGATTCAGAGTAAATGGTAGAAAATAAGTAAAACAGTCGAGAAGAAATTCCAAGTGGAGGAGGGTCACCTGGTCACAGCACAAATGGCCAATAATGAGTGTGAACAAGCCATCCTAGGGTGTGCTCAGAGAGAAACAGTCAATTGAGAGAAAGCAAAAGAGGAGTAGATTGAGCTAACGCATTTGAATAGCAGGACAGGGATGATGGAGAAATGCACAAATACTCGCCAATATTTGGCAGCATTTCGACATGTACCAAAATACATAGAGCCCTTATTCGCTGTATCATTCACGCATCTTGATGCCAGCAACTCCTGCTCACGTGGTTGGATGGACTAGATGTACACATCAGATATCGTGTGTGTATTTGCTTTGTTAAGGAGTGAGCCACCGTGAGAACATGAAAGGCGAGAATCTGAAGAAGGATTCTAGTGCAGGTGCCAAGTCTATAAAGCAGCATTTCACGATGAAAAAGTCTCATCTCAGCCTATCTGTTTGTGTGTCAATAAAAATATAAAGTTAGTCAGTGGAAGACTGTTTCATTTTTATCGTGTTGAAGCATTCGTTTCGCGGGAAAAAGGGATGGCGTTAAAACAGTTTGGTTATCCACATCCAGGTTTTGTATGCGCCCTCGTAACAGGCATCGTTTGATATTGAAAAGATCCCTTAAATAAAATTCTTTACGCATAAGAACTCTCGCCTGAGGTACTACTAAAAATGATATTTAAGTCTCCAATTACTAAATGAAATACACTCACTCATTATCAATTTATGCCGTTGATTCTTTTGAGTAGGAACTTTAGTCATCCAATGCCACTTTAAATGATTTAAGGACTGGCATCAAAATGAATTGGCTCCACCCTGCTTCCCAGAAATGTTTTCTATTTCGTCTTTGTCTCATCATCAACCCCAATAGATTCTGAACTGGATCTTTGGAATCTCATTAAGAAGTTGCCACTCCATATGCAGCCTACTTAGTTCATCGTGGGACATTTTATTATCAGTCTCTGGATAACTTTAAATCACTTAGATTAAATAAAGTTTT